CCACCTGAGGCAGCCTCTCTGCATCCCTGGGGCAGTTGACATGTAGCTGAGTAGCCAGGGAGTGGGTAGTGGGACAGGCCTGGCTTCCAAAGGTTCCTTGCAGGGCCATGCACAGCTCTTCCCACCATGCTGAAGCCAGGCTGTCTGCACCCCTCTGCCCCAGGGGCCAGGCAGGTTCAGTCCTTACCCTTGTGCCACAGCCCCCTCGCTAGCATTCATGTAGCCAGTGTCTTGCCCTAGGGCCCATGCCCCCTATGGGCATTGGGCAGGGCCTTTCCTATCATTCAAGGGAGTCAGTCCCCCACTCCATCCAAGGGAGTGCCAAATGGTAGCACCCAAGAAGGGAGTTGGACGAAACCAACTTCCTTCCTTGGGGAAAGACAACAAGGGAGTGCCAGGAAGAGGATACCTTCCCCACCCCCACTCTGCAGGTGGTAGTGCCTGTTCTCACCAGCTCTGGAGCAACCCAACTACTGTGGGGGTGGAATTTGAATAAAATTGTGTTCCCTCTTTAAATGGGAAAACTGAAACCAGAGGGTGGTTTTGTCCCCACCCCCATATGAGCGGTGGCAACCAGGTCTGGAAGGATCCACGTCACAATATAAAGAAGGGAACTCAAAACTTGCACTGCTGCTTCCCCCCCCCCCACACACACATTCTGAATGACCCATGTGCAACATATGGTTGGTAAACTACTGGTCAGCATCACCCTGAGGCCACAGCTCTTCAGGACAAGGTGCAGCCCAGCTTCTGTTCCACACAGAAGCCCTAATGCTGAATGCAAGTTTCCACTCCCAGCTGGGCTAGTAGATTTCCCCCATTCAGTGCTGTGGAAGCTGGCACAATCCTTAAGCAAGGGGGGTGGAATAAGACAGTTTTGCTGATCCCCTTATTGTACACAATGGTAGTAACCACTGCCCATGGGGGAGGAGAGACACTACTGATGCTACTTTGTACAATCCATGGCTACTTCATCTGCAGAGAGGAGGGAGTGGGGAACAGATACTTCTCTCCTAACTGCCACTGACTCTCCAGACAGCCCCCTCCACCCCTTCTTTCCAGACAGTATATGTGGTTATGCGTGCCCCTCCCACCCCAACTCCATTCTGAATAATGGTAGCAACTGGCACCTGAAAGAGACAAGAAGGGTGTTATATACCTACTATAAAAACAGACCCCCCCACCTTCTGTGTAATAGTATCTACCAGCAGCACCAACAGAAAAGGCAGTGGGGTTGGGGGGGACCCAACACTGATTTCCCAAATAGTGTCTCCCAGTCACAGGCTTCTACCATTGCATGGAGAAGGGGTGTTCAGTTATGTGCAAGGTGGAAGGGAAGGAGGATGCATAGCATGGATGCTGGTTGAAGAGAGAATGTGCAGGTACCCTGTGCAATGGCAGCCAAAACAGTCCTGGGAAGGAGAGAAGGTAACGTGGTGCTGATAGAGTGGCACTTGACCATTCCCTGGCTGTAGCAGCCCAGTCCCAAGGCTGTGTGGGGCTGCCCCTCCCCAGGGTCACACACTGATGGTGCGAAAGATGTTGAAGCCAGATAGGGCAGTGGTGATGAGGACACCGGGGCACTGCGGGTGCCAGTGCAGTTCCTTGATGTCGGTCTCGCCCTGGTGCACGAATAGCAGCTGCGGGGGGATGAATGCCAAGGCTGGGTCGTCACTCTCCCCCTCAGCCTCTTGGTCCCGCTCCACAGCCAGGTCCCACTGTGTCACCTGGTTGTCAGCCCCTGCAGCTGCCAGCACCCCACTGTCCGTGGGATGCCACTCCACCGAGGTGATAGGTGCTGTGTGCTGCTTGAATGTGGCCACGCTGGTGCCTTTCTGCAGAAGGAAGAGGAGGAGGGTGAGAGAGGCAGGGGCAGGCCAGGGCTGGGCTGACGTGGTCTATGGGTCAGGAGAGAGAGGCAAGGCTTGGGGAAGGTCAGGGGCTGGGCTGTGGGTCAGGAGTGACGGACACAGTGCTGACCTGGAACTGGCGCAGGTCCCAAATGTGGATGGTGCCATCATCGCCACCACTGACAATGAAAGGCTCGTGGCGGTTCCAGCTGATCACATTGACGTCACTGTCATGGGCCTGGCTGGCTGTCAGCATGCAGGCCTGGCTCGGTGCTGCCCGCACATCCCAGATTCGCACTGAGGCATCGGCCGAACATGAGGCAAACACCTGGGCAGAGTGCAAGGAGTGAGGGGCACTGCACAGCCTGCCTCCCTCGACCATCCAGCCTAGTCTTCCACTCTTTTCCCTGCCCGTAGGCCAATCTAGTTGAGTATCCTGCCCCAGATCAGTTCCATAGGCTGTTCACCCTGGTCTCACCACTGCTTTAGGTTAAGGTCCCTGCTTACTGTGGCTTCAGTGGGTGACCACTGCAGGTCTTCTACAGAGGCTGTGTGTGCAGTGAAAGGGCGCTGGTCCACATGCCATGTCCCACCTTCCTTGGGCGTCCATAAGTGAATGTTCTTGTTGCAATCGCCTGTGAGGAGACGGCCTGAAAAACAGAAGAGGTGGTGGCTACAGCTCTGTAGATGCCCCTCACTGGGTTTTCCCAGCCCTGACAGTGCTCCGCACTCCCAACCTGTGGCCCCTGCTCACCTGCCACTTTAGGAGACCAGTCCAGAGCAAACCCTTCGGTCATATGTCCTGCGAAGGAGAAGAGAGGCTTGATTTTCGCCTGCTCCTCCCGCAGAAAAGTGACCATCGCCTGTGGGTTGGACAGGGCCGCAAGGGGACACCGCAGGTCATAGATCTCCACTTGACCCTTCTCGGACCACACAGCTGCTATGTGAGTGCTGCCCAGTGAGGTCACCTGCCAAAAAGAAAAGAATTAACTGTGGCTGGGACAGCTGGAGGGAGGGCACATGGGGGGCAGGGGGTCAGCAGTACCCTGACACGGTTGATGCCTCCATAGTGGGGGACCATAGCCAGCTCCAGCTGGGGTTTCTTATCCTCCTCCTCCTCCTCTTCACTCTCGCTGCTTTCAGACTCAGAGACCACCTTCCGTGTGCCATGAAGGTTATGCATCTTCATCACCAGCAGCCTGTCCACAGGAGAGGGGCTTGCTGAGGCTACAGACACCCAGGAAACACAGTCGCCAACCAGCTCCCAGGGGTGGGGAGGTGGCAGGGACCTCTCTTTTCCAGGTGGCTCCCACCTTGGGCCAACCCCGGGGCAGCAGCACTGGCTGGTGCACGGAGTGGAAATGGGGTGGGCAGCCTGTTGTCTCCAGCAGCTGCTGCCCCTGATCCAGGCCTCACCCTCTCCCCCATGCACCGTGGTGCCCTAGATGTGCGATAAGTTCTGCTGAGTCCCAGCCCAGTATCCCAGCTCCAACCCTTGCCCCCTAGATGGGCGCAGAAGGGAGTGTGGGCTGGAGCCAACTCTGGCACTGGTTCCTTCCCCCGCCGCCCTGGTCTGACCTGTTGGCCTGGGCGGTCTCAGCCTGCGTGCCGGCACAGAGCAGTAGGGACAGGGGGAAGCACTCACGCTCCTCGCCCAGCGTGTCCCGCACCACGTCGAAGCTCAGGCAAGGGGCACCTACGGGGGGGAGGGGGAGATGGGATCAGCTTCGAGGCCACCTGTGCCCCACTGCCTTGGGGCCGTGACTCCCAGCCAGCTCTGCCCTAGGGCCTCATTGATCCTCAACCCCTCATCTCCAGGACTCCGGCCCTGCCCTGCCCCTACCACAGCCCCGCCCCCTTTTATCGAGGCCCCGCTCCCACGTGCTAAGCCCCTCCCCGCATGTGCCTAGCCCCGCTCCGTACCGGTGCCCGCGCGCTGGTAGAGCACATAGGCCTCTTCGTCCATGACTAGCTCCTCGCCCTGCCCTGGCGGTGGCGCGCGGCCCGGCACATACACGCGCCGCGCGGGCGCCTCCGGCTCGCCGCCCTCCTCCATCTCCTCCGTGCTGCTGCTATCGCCGTCCCCATTGTCGTCGCCGAGCCACGTTGGGTCCGCCATCGCGGCACAGGGCAGCACTGCTTCCGGGCAGACGTCGTCTGCCCCACTTCCGCCCTCAGGCCGGAAGGCGCGGAGGCGCCATCTTGCGAAGGGGCAACGTCCGCCATGTTGGGGATGGAACCGGACAACCGCGACCTGCGTGTTTGAATAGGACTGGGAAAGGGGCTGCCGCCATCTTACAAGTGGGCAATAGCTGTCTGTTCCGCCGCCATTTTGACATAGGTACTGGCCGGAGGCCCTGGAGAAAAGCTTGGCTCTGGGGCCGCCATCTTTGAAAAGGGAAATGAGAAGCGGCCGCCATCCTGACTACGGGAAAGGGTGGCCGAGCGCCATTTTGGGAAATGTAGTTTTCAGGCATCCCTAGATGCCATCTTGACTACGGGCAGGTGTGGTTGCGTAGAAAGCCACCATATTAGAGGGATCCTTTCCTGCCCTCTGCTCATCGCCATAGCAACCAGAAAGCTTCAGTGCATTGCCAGGAAGCAATTAATAGAAGTCAGTGGCATTGCTGTAGCAACAAGAGGCGATGGGTAACGTAAAAAGGTTCCCAGGTGACATCATCAGGGCTGGGTTCACGGGGAGGGGGTTGTGTCAACCCAGGGCTTGATGTCATCACTTGGGGCCAACTTCCTTCGCTGCCCCTGTTGACGTCTCATCAGCGTCCCAGGCTCTCCCAGGGCTGCTGCAGCCCCCTCTGGTTTCCATAGCAAACTGATGAGGATTCATTGACTTCCCCTTCCAAAGTGTGGGCAGAGCCCCCTCCCTGCCCTGCCGGGCTCCCCACCAGCCCCTACTGTGCTCTGCCCAATACAGGGTCCCATCAGAGCCCCCTGCCCTGCAGCTCAGCACCCAGAAGGCCTTCCCAAGGCCCTGCCAGTACCTGCAGCCAGCACCAGCCCCGCCAAACACTAAGTGATGTGAGCAATGGGCTCCCCATGGCGGGCACTTCACGGCTTGTGCACCCAGTCCCCATCACAGGGTTGACCCTCGCGCTTGGCTGAGCACAGTGAATTTCATGGCACAGCAGCTGCAGCTGGAGGCCTTCAGGCTGTGCTCATGTAGGGATTTATGGACCCTGCCAGAAGGCAGGGA